TCATAGTTCTCCAGTTGCCAAGTCTTGCGTCCTCTTATTTCACTCAACAATTATATTTATGCTTTTTAGATATATCAGATGAACATACTTGCAAATACAATCACATACCTAATGAGTTGTACAATTACTGGGGTTATTCACAAAACAAAGGTCATTTTTCTCAATATTTAGCTCAACATTTCTTGCACATTTCATGATACTGTCATCCTATCAGCTACGCTCTACAGAATTAAACACAGGTAGGAAAAACACAGAGAAGAGAATAAAATCAGGAGGAAGAAACAGGCCAACTGTGAATGTACCTGATGCTCTCAGTGGGAGAGAAGGCTGAAGGCTGTTCTAATATGAAGGAAACATCAACCTTTTTTATAAGAGTCTGAATCAAAATCGGCTAAGAAGTCTGAGAAAGAGAAGAGCTTGACAGTACCACACAGGTATAGGCAATAGTAAGGAGCTTTGCCACCCACATCCACACAGCCAGCCAAGCCTTTCATTCATAGCCTTTCTCTTACTCCCACTCAGCCCCACAGGTAGTAGTCGAAAAATCTTTCAAGCATCCTGATGGATAAAAGACTTCATTTAACGTGAAGGCTCCCACTGCATAAGAACAAAACCTACTCAAGAAGTCAAGTTCTGTGTCGAACTGTTAGAAAGAGTACTCGAGTTTCTAGTGAGTTCATGAGCAACTTACTAGAAGCAAGCAGTAACTTCTTGTAGCCTCCCATTAGCTGGAGCTGAAACATGTGAAGTCAACTCACCCAGGGGGACAGATTATTCTTTCTCTATTAATCCTTCCTCCCATTTCAGAACTTCACAGAGAAAGAGATTTGGAGTACCGAGGCCTTAGCAAATTGGTTCTCCACTCAACGTTTCATTAATTCTCCAGTTTCACAAATAGTTCTAAGATAGACCTCTGTGACTGTTGTGCGTAACTTTCCTAGAGGTATAGCCAGACAGAACTGCCCTGGCTTTTAATAATGTTACTTTTATTAGAGGTAACACTAGTAAAACTGGCAAAACTGATTGAAGTTAATTTCATTCTAAATCCAATCTAGAAATATGTACATTCAAGAACAGAGGCATTAGCTGTAGATATATGCTGATGTGGCCCATGTTTGAAAAATTATCTTCACAAACAACAGGTGTAAGTATTATATTATTAATACATATTGAAAGGGTGCAGGCACTGGAGAACCTATCGCACAAATCTTACTGTATTATTGCTGTGCAAATGCAGAATGGAAGCAGGTTTTGTAAAGAGAAGAGAAGCACTTGATGGTCTACATCTTGATTTTAAAAGGCTTTTAACATTGTCTCACCATGACAACACAGAGGAATGTGGCTAGGTGAAACTACTCTGTGATGGTGCAAAACCATTTGTTCAGTGTCCTTATGAGCAGCTATTAAGGAAACATTGTCAGAAAGGAAGACTGTCTAATCAGGTTCCAACAGAGTCTGATCTTGTTCTGGTTCTATTTATTATTTCACTCTTGACCAGGTTGATAGAAAATAAACTATATTCATCAAATTTCAGACAAAAGTAAGCTAAAAGGCACTGAAAGTATTTAGGAGAAGAGAATTAAAATTCCAGAAGATCTTTGAAAATTGACAAAATAGTGTGAAAAAAAAATGCTGTTCAACAGAAACAAATGCAAGGGTCTACGTTTAAAAAAGAAATAATCAAGTAAATAAATAAACGATGGGAAACAGTGATGGCAGCTCTTTCAAAAGGACACAAGGGCTGTAACAAATCAAAAAACATATGAATCACCCACAACATGCTGTTCTGAAAATGGAAAACATCTCACTGGGATGTAGAAACTGTAATAAAGCTTAAGAACACATAAAGTAATGGCTCTACTGGGGTATTCTGCCAGTACTGCACTTCAACAAAGAGGTGAATCAGCTGGAGAAAGTCTAGAGAAGGACAATAAGAATAATTTAAGGTATAAAATATAAGTCCTACAGCAAAAGACTGAAACATTTGGAGCTATATGGCCCAGCAGGGCCATAGAGGGTAGAAGCAGCATAATTACAGTCTTGAAAGATGCAGAAAAAGCTTTTAAAAAAGTTTTCTCTATGTCAGTAGTGAATAAGGTGAGAAATTATGACCTTAAATTGCAAAAAAGAAAGAATCAGGTTATACTTTAGGAAAATCATCCTAAGAGTTCAGACAATGAAGCAGTGCAATAGATTGCCTGGGAAGATTGTGAAGTCTGCTTCATATTGGAAGGGGATGGCCTAGATTATCTTCTCAAGACAACTTCAAGCCATATTTATCAGTAGTCTATAACTATGTTCTTCCTTAACCAATACAGTCATACCTGCATAGAGGCGTATGTAAAACAGATAAACAGAACACCTCAAAACTAAAAATAGAAAACTTGGGAAATAAATATATTGTCAAGTACCAAAACTTACACTATCATCTTTCCAATTTTGAACTCTTTAAAGCCAAAGCCACTTATAAAAGTGGGAGCAGGGTATAGCCAAAATTAAAGGATTTTCCAGATATGAAACTACGTACTTGACATAGCCCTCACTCTATTAACTTTTATCTGATTAGGGCAGTTTTGTTTTCACCTAGTAATAAAATTTTAGAAACCCCTCCGTTTTTCTTTAAAGCGAAGAAAAGTAAGAGAAATTAGCAAATTCAAATATGCAGAGCTTGTACTTATATACCACAAATTAAGTGGTGCTAATTACACAGTAGCTGCCAAACTGCTATGCTCTTGGGATTTCTGTAATGATAGATTTCAGGAACCAACAGGACAAGCTGCATAATAATATCTGCAAGTAAAGTATCAATGAATGTATACAATGAATGTATACAATAAAATAGTATAATTACACAGAAAAGATCTACTGCATTGCTTACCTGTAAGTATTACTTACTTACAAAGGTGCATCACAAAACGTACATTTATAAACTATTGATAAACATGCTGGTTTTAACCCTGATAATAACATTCCTAATTTGAGGAAGCTTATTTAACATTTTGTGGCAAAGCTGCTGTGTCTGACCCAGTATTTCAAAGTTTAGTAATCAGCTTTCAGTTGATATTCGGCTTCACTTCTGGCTGCTGCACTGAGAGGTGTTATAACCTGTTTACCTATTCCTAGACAAAAACAATGTATCGGTGACAAGCCTATTAGCGATCTTTGATCCTTAAAATGCAGAACTCGGAATGACATACTGACAAAGTACAGGACTGCAACTCCGGCGACCAGAGTTTATGCCCTGTTTTTTAAACCAGCTTTGCAGGCTCCCTTGGACAAACTATTTCACGTGTCTTTGCCAATCTGCCCCCACCATTAAAAACATACTGGCCTCCCTATTTAAGCACGCTGAGCCTCGTTCAAATCACCTACCCACTTAAGCTTGTCTAAGGCATTGCAGCTACTTTTCACTGGTGACCAGGCAGGCAGCTAGAGTAACAGCCTTCAATGCCACAAAAATTTTTGCATGTCAAGATAAGAAGGGCGATTTCAATCTGAGGCATAATTCTTCCGGTGATACACTTATCCCACGCTCCCCTCTCAAACCATCTCAAGCTAGAGAACTTACTTACGTGTGGATGTTTTTAACTTCTAGTGTGAACTCAGCTCATGTTCACTCAGACATGGCAGTATGCCACTAACTTAGAAATCTGAAGGTTGTCTGAGAGATCAGACAGGGTTATCCTTTGAGATCTACTGAAGAAAAAATGTATATAAAAGATAGGTACTATCAGTAGTGCTATTCAGCTAGCAGTACTGGCACAACTGGTACACTTTTGACCCCCAGAGGAAACAGAATGGAGTTTGGTTGAAATCAGTTTTTTCTCCCTTCCTTACGAGAAAAAAGAAAGGATACAGATGTCAGGTTTTGTTCAGAAAGTATCTGGTATCACAGAGTACTTGTAACAGGACTCTCAGACTATTTCTTGTAACTCTGGCTAATTGTGTATACTCAGCAGCCTGAGAACCAACTGAAGCGACTTCAGCTGCAAAGGCTTTCCATATTCAAAAATACGTTTTGGATACCAGTCATTCATTCATTAAACCTTTTTATTACCTTCAAGTTCAGCTGGGGCCAGGATAACAGTCTGGAGACCAAGCCAGGAAAAATGAAAAAAAAAAAAGCTTATCAGAGTCAGAGAGATGCATCAGAAAGAATATGGCCTGCAGGCATGCTTTATCATTTGAAGGGACTTCCCTACCTGTGCTGAAATGAAAATTTACAGCTGCAGGCTCCTGTTGGACCTTTGTCTGTTAAATAAATGTGAGGTAACCACAATGTTCTGACAGGGTAACTGCGTATTTTCCATTTGGATATGGATCTTGCCACAGCTGCCCATGCTCTTGCCACCTTTCCTGAATTACTGTTCTGAGCTCGTTTCCTTGTGGGGATGGCACGACACACTGCAGCTAGCAGAAAATGTATTCTCCTGGTAACTCTGCAGTGTTTCTCACAGAACACAAATCACACCTGTATTGCAAAATCTGCCTGACTCCCAATCATTTTTCTGGGTGATGCTCTGACTTACACACTTTGGATAGAGATTGCCACAGATACACATGATCTCATTTTCTCTTCCCCCTTCTCTTTAATACTAAGATGATCATCAAAGTAATTCTGGGTGGGGTTTTTTGCATGGGAATCACTACTAAAATTAGACAAATAGGATGAACTATATACTCGAAAATGAATCATAAATAAAACACAGAAATTAGTCATCGCATTTGCATACTGGTGATAATCAGCAGTTGACTCTTCTTAAATAAAGACATTGTTTCAAAGTTATTTAAACTCTGGGATCCCCGGCAATGTAAAAATAGATGATAACTTCATCATTCCAAAGCAAATAGCACAGCATCTCTTTCTGGCATGTGCTCTACTTGAGCAGAATACTGATTGCACTTGATATCTTTTCAGCACAGACATGAGCTATCTGTTTGATTCATTTCATAAACATTTTAAAACAGATACTGAAATGGATGTTACCAGTAGGACAGACCTATCTCATTAAAGCCACTGTAGCCCAGCTCTTGCCTGCTTAGTCCCAGATCTTCAAGGTCCATGCATTTAAATCCAGGTGGGCACTGGTAACCTTCTTCCAGCTCTCTGGAACAGTGGGTGTCTGGGATAGCTAAATTATTCCAGGTTACATTTCTGTGAAAAATACAAAATTAAGGTGTTACATAAACTCAACCCATAGCAAAACTAAATACTTGAAAGTGAGAGGACTGAAGTGAAAAGTACATCAGCTATTATTTTTGCTATCTGATGTTCTTTGGTACATGTTACTTTCGTTAATTAAGCACTTATTGTAAAGGGCAAGCTAACAGTCTCCTAAGACTTCAGCTTTATGTAATGATAGTACAAATAGCAACAGCAGAAGTTTCACACTAATGCCTAGAGACCCCATGAAAAATGGAGATTTTCCAAGACACAGAGGAGTTAACATACAGCTGCTCCAACTGCTCTTTAAAGCAGTTTGGATACTTACTGCTTCAGGCTGCTTTGAAAATGCTGAGAGCACATTCAGCTGCAGTCAATACTGTGATTTTGGCTTCCACAGACATTACCTGAGCTAGCTTTGACATTCTCTAGAAGGATCATTGTGGATGACTTGTCAGCCACCTGAGTATGTATTCAGCTTCTTGTACCTTGGTCAGGCCAGGTTTCCACCACAGATGGATAGCCACAGTCACAGGCAAGATAGTCAAATTATTACATGATTAGTGCAATTAGTATCTAGGTATTGCTGTGACTGAAACTGATCTGATTCCCTTTTAGGTCAGTCCAGTAATGATTTGGTAGACCAGATGAAAAGATTTGAACTGGTTTGAACTAGTTCAAACTGATTTATGCTGGTAAATGTAACACTGAAAACCAGAAACACTATGAGACATGGGGCAGCGCTGCAACACAGTGTGTTGGCCATTTTTGCTGTTGCCAGAGGCTGAGCATCACTTGTCTTCCCAGCTCCTCTGGCACCTGGGGCTGAGCTGCTGAAGATGCTCTGTCACACTGCACCACAGTGAGAATTCAGGTAGGTCAGCACTAAGGGACAGAGAAGTTAAAGGAGAGAGAGGACAAGTTTGTAGCTCCCCGTCTTGTTAAATCTGTGCCCGTGGCATGTACGCATAAAGATGGGGATCCAAGCGCTCCCAAACTTTGGTAAGGAGAAGCTCAGGCAGTTGATTCCCCCTAAGCATTCATAGCACCCAGTTGATAATCACAATACATAGTCCTTTGCCAAAACCAAACACCGGTCACCCCATTTCTCAAGAAGCAGTTTAGTTAAGAGGTAACTTTAGCGAACTGCTCCCCACCATCCTAAGCAGGTCCCTGTTAGGGTCTACAAAGCAACACAACACAGTATTACAGCGTAGAAGTGAGGATTCCTGTTTCTTGTGCTATGAGTTGTAATATGTCATATTGGTAAACCAAGGTTGTAATATGACATAGCTCCAACTGTGCTGAACAGGCACACAGCTAAGCAACATCCATTTTTTTCCTTGCTTCTATTCTCTCATCTAGCAAATGAAAATCCTGATTTTTGGTTCAGTCCTAGGGCAAATCAGACCTGAAAAGCTAATCACGGTGAGTTCTGGTCTGAGAAAAAAAAACAGCCAATAGCATTTTGCCATTCTTGTTCAGGTTGATTCTGAATTCCTGGTCAGAGCAGAGACTTTTGATACAGAACCACCGAAAATGAATTGCTGAAAGTTGCAAAGAAAATCTTGTAGTATTCACCCCGTTATCCTGAGGCTTCAGACCAATACCTTAAAATTCATCACTTTAATTAATCTTGCTTGTCCACAAAAAGGCAAAACATTTCAGTCTGCCCTTTAGTATAATTAGTATCTTATTGTTCTTCTGAAAGTCCTCTTCTTTTAATCTACCTCACAGATGCATTTTGACAACTAAATTGGGTGAACAGAAGCTTTAATTACTTTATTTTTCTTGCTTTTATGCACTATATGCGATAGCAATAAATTAGTCTAAATCTGTCAGTGTGAAACTAAAGCTTCCTACACAATTTTTCTTAGGCAATTCTAAAGGCAGAGAAATAACTGTAGTTGCACCCATCCTGTAGTCATTTCTTCGTGATACCAGACAGCCATACATATCTGCCTGGATGAACACACAGACATGTACAGTTCCAGCTGAAGTTTTAAAGAACACCCTGAAATTTAGCTATGTGCATAACTAGAAAGACAGACAGACACACAAGCATGCATGTACCCATTTCACTTTTTGTAAACACGCGCAGCACATGTCACTCAAGGATTAAAAAATTCATCTGGGCACCTTAATTCCTTTATACTAGAATATGTTAATTCATACCCAGTTGTATGCTTTAAGTACTTTAGATTTATGATACTGTCATCTAAAAGCCATTATAATATATGAGATTATCATAAGAAAACATTTTATGAATATTTTCAGAAGTGAAAATTAATTCATTGGCTCAAGCAGATTCAGAAACCCGGCTACTGGTAGCTAATGAATTTTACATTATGGTTTGCATTAGAAAATCCCTCAGATCCAAGAGGCTAGCAGTGTGAGGGCATATTATTAATAGCATTGCTGGCTCAATCACTACAATGCAAAGCACTCATTTTAAGTGCTTTGTTTAAACCTAGGTCATTTTTGTATCACATCAAACCTCCTGAAGAAGAAAAGCTGTCTCCATGCACTGTGTATGGTTTAGGGTAAAAAGGAAGAATCTCTGCTTATAGTACCTGTACCTGTACAGATATAGGCTTTTTTTGGAACAATGCCACTGGGCAATTTGTGTTCTGCCTCAAGACAGTAAATAAGCATAGACTAGTCTACATGGACTATACAATATTAGACATCTAGTCTAGAAGTGGCTAGAATATCAACAGACGTTTTCCATATAAGTGACTTAAATTATTTTATTCCTTCATAGGCCATACTCAACATCAACTAAGCACTGAGATGCTGATTCAGGACCTAACTAGCTTTAAGCATCTCAGAAGTTCGATTAGGCAATGTGCTTAAGAATCTTGCTATTCAGCAAGGACCCTTGATTAAATTACGAATTCATTGCAACATGACCAAAGAAATAATTCATCCTAGTAGACCAACTGAGTATTTCTATGCAGAGTATTCAATGTGTATGGACTACAGCATCAACCCAACAGGCGAGCTGAGAAATTAGTTCCACACAGAAATCCAAAGGATGCAGAAGGAGATAATTAACTCCATAACACTTAATAAGAAATCTTCAATAATAAGATTGTTGCAAAAGACATAGGAGTGCTGCTCTAACGTGTTTTTAACTGCCTGAAGAATGTTCTGACTATGTACATACATATGGACACCACAAGAAGAACCTGAATTTGCATGTCTTGGCAGTACACATGCCTGTTTTCCATGGCAAAACTGGTCTTTCAACCACTATGTGCTCATGTGAGCACAATCTGTCTTTGAGCACCATCTCTTCATTAGGGTCATTCTTCAAAGAGAGACTTTGGCAACTTAAGAGACAAATTACCCAAGGTAGCTCCTTACTTCCTATTTTCTGTTAACCTGACTTTCTCTGCTGAAAATAGAAATGGAGAAAAAATGGGATTTTTTTATTCTGGTATTCTATTAATTTTCTAGGATATCACCAGAAAGCCAATCAAAATTACCAAATTACTCATGTGGTTGCCAGGTCCAGAAAATTACAGAAAAAAATTAAGAAGGTCATTTATTGATAAGTTATTAAAAAAAACATTACTTATGGTCAATTAGGTAAAGAAGTCAATACCTAAAAATGGATCAGCTGGAGCTGAAGGATTTTCTGTATTAGTTGAAAGGAATCCTATGTCTGTCTCTGCACCAAAACCAGGCACTGCACAGCTGCTGACGAAAGAACTACTGAGATGGTAAAAATACCACAGCAGACATAAAAAATGGCTGGCGGATCACGAAGCAAGTAAGGAGCAATAGTACAGCTTCCAAATAAGGAGTAATACATTAACTGGGATCTCAGAGGAACTGGCAATGGGTTCTGTGCTATCCATTTTCATTAGTGACCTGCGGGACTGTGTGAAACCAGCTTCATCAAAACCACACAAAGCATATGCTGAAGGATGACAAAAACCTTCGAGAATAGCAAGATTATGTAGTTCTGAAGAGCTTAAAGGTTACTCTCAATAACTGTGATTTAATGTCACGTAATGAATTCAGAAAGTAATAGAACTAAATGCAAAATGGACACTGCTGTATAGAGTACTAATATAGAAATAGGCTTGGATCAGGTAACTGATAAGAGATAGATTTGTCTTTAAGATATCAAGAATTCATAGCTTCCTCTTCTGCGATATGGATTTAGACATCTGAGGAATAAATTTGGAAAAAAAAAATAAATCCATTCCTATACATTTTTCTAAAAGGCACTTCTGTTTTGCCATATTGCCAGAACCCAAGGCAAAAGTACCAAGCTAGTGAGAATACAGCAATAAACCTAAAATAAATCCGGAAGAGAGCATAGAGTTCCATGCTGCAGAGAAGAAGTTCCTGAAGCTCAAATTAAATTGATTCTGGGCTAGGATCACTCAATAAACATTTTCTGATGAAGTAATACCGTGGTTCTAAATCTCATGAGTTTTATTAATACTGGCCTCATACTATATACGGGAATGATATCTAAGTAATTTGTCTTTATTCTCAAAACCAGAATGATCTACTTCTGTGAAACCTTCACTGCACCATTCTAGACAACTATTATAGCCCATGAACACTTTTATTAAGTTTTAAACTCTATATTGTATCAGTACTTTATGAAATGAGGTGTAAATTACCAGCTGGATTCATAGCGGGAAAATAAGGTCAGCTGTGTCATACCCATCTTGATTTTAACAATGTTTTTGGAGCTTTATTTGGAGCACCAAAATATAAATGCAAGGTATGTATAGACTGACAGATTAATGGTAATGGAACCTCTCAGGTCACAGATCTGAAATAGGGAATACGAATTTCTAGGGTAGCAAATATCTACTTCTTTCTTGCTAATTTCTTACTAATACATTTAAACATACAAAAGAACAGATTTTCACATCAAATGCAGAATAAGCTCTATTTCGTCACAAACATTCTGCATTCTAGATCTAAAGCTCCTTCCTGCAATTGAGTCCAGGCAAATACCC